TACTATATTATAGGTTAGCGCTAAAATTCAAGGCCATTTAGCCACTTGAGTTCTACATGTAAGGAGAACTGAACTGAAGGCTAAATATTGGCTTGCCAAAAAGTCCGTTACGTTTTTTCCCATACGATAGCTCTACTAGTGCTTAGTTTCCTTTAACTGAATTCAAAACAATTTTGTTAGATTGTATTGTGACAGCTGTCATAGCAGCATGTTTAAAAAAAAAAAATCAAAATTGGTGAATTTTTGTGCAGCCATTTTAGTATTGCAGATGGAAGAAAATATGCAACACTTGCAGCATATTATGCTTTATTATTTCAAGAAAGGTAAAAACGCAACTGAAACACACAAAAAAAGATTTGTGTAGTTTATGGGGAAAGTGCTGTGACTGACTGAACATGTCAAAAGTGGTTTGTGAAATTTCTTGGTACTATTGATATTTTGGCCAAATAAGTCTTTGCTGTGGGGCTGTTTTATGCATTGAAGATGTTAAGCAGCACCCCGGCCTCTACCCACTATAAGCCAATAGCAGGAGAAAGCCGACATACTCAAAATATCCAAATCAATAAAGGTATTAGTGAAAATGAAAAATGTCTTTTATTTTATGGAAAGAATATAAAAAACTTTTGGGCCAATCCAATATTAAAACATACAAAGCAGTCACAAATAGTGGTGAAATGGGAAAAACTAAAGACAAACATTATACTTCCTAGTGTGTTCCCAGGTCATCCTTGGCTAGAGAAATTACCGGGCAGGATTAGAGAGTTAGGGGCTGGGGTGTTTCAGAGTTTGAGTTAAAGTTCTTCCTGGATTATAGCATTGTAATAAGTTACTTTTTTCTCTTAGCCAATTATAAAGCAAACATGATAATTATGAGGACACATAAAATTGTTTTGTATCGAGCACTCTAAGAGCTATATATTTATATAAATATCTTTAGATATACAGACATAATGTATACTTATATACAATCACAGTACATTTGTCTTTACAACAACTCAATTATTCTTATTTTAAAGGGGAGGAAACTAAGGCACAGAAGGGTCAAGTAAGTTGAGCAAGCTTTCAGCCAAGGCTGAATAGCCCTTAGACCTTTCTTTCTCCAAGAGTGATGCACCTGTGGGAGCTCGCTCTCTCTCTCCCCCCGACCCCACACACACCCCCACATTAATTTTGTTTTTAGAGAGAGGGAAAAGAAGGGAGAAAAAGAGGAGGAAAAACATCAATGTGAGAAAGATCGATCAGTTGCCTCTTGTACCCGCCCTGACCAGGGCTGAAACAGCAGTCTAGATGTGTGTCCTAACTGGGAATCTTTCATTTTGCTGGACAACACCCTACAAACAGAACCACACCTTGGGCTTTTAAGAGCTATAATGAAGCTCAGTTTACATACATAAAATGTATCCATCGTAATGTACAATTCTATGACTTTTGACAAATTTACAGAGGTGTGCGACCATGACTAAACCAGTTGGGAACGTTTTCATCACTTAGAAGATCCCTCATGCTTTTATACTCAATCCCCATCTAAACCCCCAACTCCAGGAAACCACAAATCTGCTTTACCTATAGGTGTCTTTTCTTGGCATTTCACAGAAATAGAATCATGTAACATATTGTCTTTTGCACTAGACTTGCTTAATTAGCATAAGGTTTTTGAGGTTCATCTATACTGTACCATTTATTAGATCATTTATTGCTTAATAGATTCTATGATATAAATATACTACATTGTTTATCTACTCATCAGTTCATAGACATTTTGGCTGTTTTCATTTTGAAGCTATTATAAATAATGCTGCTATTATCATCTACATACACTTTTTCTGTAGAGGTAGATTTTTAAATTTTCTGGGGTAAATACCTAGGATCGAAACTCTTAGTTTATATGGAAAATTTATGGCTAGGTGTGGGACATTTTGAGAAATGCGAAACTCTTTTCCAAAGTGGCTGAGGGTTTTGGCTTTCCCACATCTTCATCAACGCTTACGGGAGTTCCAGATCTCCATCGCCGCCCTCTCCAGCCTTTCGTGGCCCATGCAGCTATGTCACTGAATGCTGGAGTGGAAGGGAGGAGGGGGAGAGTGAATGGAGAAACGACAGAGAGAGAGATCCTTACACTTTTTCAAAGGCAACCAAGTGTATTTCATTTCTATTCTGTTTTAAATTTTTTTTAAAGTTTTTTTGAGAGCAGTTTTAGTTTACAAGAATGTTAAGAAGGTACAGGTATTTTGCCTATAACATGTGCCCCCCACAGTACAGTCTCCCCTATTTATCAACATCCTCCACCAGAAAGGTATATTTGTCACAAGCAATGAATTTACATTGACACTTTATTATCACTCAAAGTCCACAGATTACATTAGGGGTCACCCTTGGTGTTGTACATGCCATGGGTATGGACAAAAGTAAAAAGATGTTTATCCAGTATTATATCACAGATAGCAGTTTCACTATGCTAAAAATACTCTGTGCTCTGCCTCTTCGTCCCTCCCTCCCTCCCACCCACCTTAATCTCTGGCAACTGAACTTTTAACTACTTCCACAGTTTCCCCTTTTCCAGAATGCAATGATTGGAATCATACACTATGCAGTCTTTTCAGATTGGCTTTGTTCACTTAGTAGTATGCATTTCAATTTCTTCTATGACTTATCATGAACTATTTCATTTTAGCAATGAATAATCTTCCAAATGATTCATTTATTCACAGATTATTTATCCACTTATCTAGTACAACACATTTTAGTTGCTTCCAAGTTTTGGCATTATGAATGAAGCTGCTATAAATATCTGTGCGCAAGTTTTTGTGTGGGCATGAGTTTCAACTCCTTTGGGTAAATATTAAAGAGTATGATTAATAAATTATATGTTAGAGTATATTTAATAAGAGTATGGGTAGTTTTGTAAGAAGCTGCCAAATTCTCTTCTATGAACAAAGACAGTTTTAGTTCTTCCTTCTCAGTCAGTGTACCTTTTGTTTCCTTTTCCTGTCTTATTGCATTAGCTAGGACTTGCAGTAAAATGTTGAAACAGAATGGTGAGAGAAGCATCCTTGCCTTGTTCCTGATCTTATTGGGAAAGCTTCCAGTTTCCTACCATTATGTATGATGCTAGCTGTAGAATATATATTCATATATATATATATATATTCATCTCAGGCTACATATATATTCATCTGTGTGTGTGTGTGTGTGTGTGTGTGTGTGTATTCATCTCAGGCTGAGGAAGTTCCTCTCTATTCCTAGTTTACTGAGGATTTTTTTTTTTTTTAATCATGAGTGAGTGTTAGATTTGGTCAAGTGCTTTTACTTTATCAATTGATATGATCATGTGATTTTTCTTTTTTACTTTGTTGATGTGATATGTTATCTTTGTTTTTGGCAAACAAACACTATAGATTTTTAAATGTTGAAACCAGCCTTGCGTATCTGGATTAAATCCTTGGGTTAATACACATATCAGCTTTTCATCTTGTAATGGAAATATTTTTTACAAGGACTTACTGCTATTTTGACAATTTATGTTTACACATTCTTTTGTGTTCATTGATGAGAAAGGGAAGGGTACATAGGACTATATTGACAGGAGAATAAAGTAGAGAATGGGAAGAATTTGTTACTAAGGCTTAACTTGAAAATGTCATAAAATTATGAGTCCATTATTCTTTAATATTTTAGCCCAATTTTTATGATATGAGCATGTGAGATATAAATGTTTTCATAGAGATTTCAAATCTGTGTCTTAAACACGTACATTCCATATGATCCACTCATTCTACTTCTAGGTATTTTCCCTAGAACATTGAGAGCCCATGTCCATCCAAAGACTTGTACAGGGATGTTCAAATCAGCCTCAGTTGTAGTGGCCTTAAACAAAAAACAATCCCAAAGTCTATAAACATCTAAATGGATAAGCTGTGGTATATTCATGTGATACAATTCTATTTGGCAATAAAAAGGAATAAATTATTGATACACATTACAACATGAATGAATCACAAAAAAGAATTCAGACACTATGATTCCATTTATATAAAATTCTAAGAAATACTAATATATAGTTTCACAAAGTAAATCGGTGGTTGACTGTACAGGGAGTAGAGAACGGCAGGAAGAAGGGACTAAAAAGAGGCATGAGAAAAATTAGGGGGTGATAGATGGGTTCATTGCTTTCATTGTGGCGATGGTTTCAGAGGTGTATACATATGTCAGTACAAGAAAGTGTACATATATTATGTAAAAAACATATTAAAATATTTTTATATTCCTTTAAGTTTCTTCTTTTAAAATGTGTAAACAGTAACAAAGAAAATCCTTTGCAGTTATTACATATTATATTTGTAACTCTTATAAAGATTAAATTTTACCTCTGCTCATATTTTTCACAATGGGAAGATATAAAATGAAGGTAAATTAAAAATTTATTCTACTATATGTTTGATGTTATCTTTGTGGTTGGCAAAAATTGTTAACCAAAAAGGCTGGAAGTACTAAAAGTCACAAGATACACAAATTCCAAGACATTAGTTTTTTTCTTTGTTCACACATAAAATTAGTTCATAGTTCATAAGTGACCAAAAGCACTATGGGATTATTAAACACCACCAATCAAGAGTATGTGTGGTAATGTACAAAACTTAGAAAATAGTACATGGTGAACTATGTATAAAATAGTACTATAATATTATAAAATCAACCAAAGTAGGCTATTTTTCTAAATAGCCTTTTTCACATAAACATTATATATAACTAAATTCCATGTTTAACTGTACTATAATAAGTTATTTTCTCTTTTTAAAAAGGTTGGTTGACATTTTCTAAAAATAGCAAAATATTACAGGCCATAAAAATGTCCAATATGTATACAAGCTCTTTGTCATCAGGAAAACGTTAAATCAAAATCCTTGGAAACATTACCAGGGGAAATCAAAGAGACTGAAAATATGAAAGTAATGAAACACAACACTGAAATGTCACCAGAAAAAGCTCTGCAATGAGGTTACCTGGAATCAGTTCCATAATGATGTAGATGGGTTGTCTCTGTGTGCAGACGCCGATAAGCTTGACAATGTTGGGGTGATCATACTGCTTGAGAATTCTGTAGGAGAAAAAAGTATAAGAATAATTATTTAAACAATAAAGCATTAAGTTAGGATCATAAAGAGTATACACAAGTAGAATATACTTTAATTGATATAATTTGATGTTTAAAACGTCAATATGAACCTAATTATGATAAATGGGATATGTGCAAATTTGTATTAATATTGGCAACATATAGGTACAAATGAAACAACTATACTTAATTCAATTAAATATTCACTTAAAAATTATTAGCCAGTTCTGAATGACTAACAACCATGCTAAATAGCAATAATTTACTTATTCCAAAATATGCAGAACTCCCTAAAGCATAGTTGAAAAGTATCAGTGAACTCAAAACTGTAAATTGCAAGGGTAGTATCTTTTGGTTTAATTTTGTTTTATGTACACACTTGACTTAAAATACATAAAAATAAGAATCCAATCACATTGATAAATACTATAGGGTAATCCCTTCATTAGATTTTGTAATAAATGCTTTCTTGATGATTATAATTAATTTCAAAATAGTAAGCACTCAAAAGTTTTGAGAAAGCTGGTAAAAGGTTAACCAATAACTTGAGTCACGGTGTTTCAGTATCAACTTAAGCTGAAGCAGGAAGACTTAGTTTGGCTAAGGCAAAATTTCAGAGGGCTATAAAATAACAGAGACTCATCCTTCGGACTCCAAGCTTGAGTTACAAGGAAATTAGGTTCCCTCAGAGGCCTGTCTACCTTGATGATTTCTATTACCAAATTTTAAACCATATTATCCTGTTGATATAGTAAAAATTCCACTCAATATTTGAAAGATGCAGTTTTCTTAAGAGAATGGAAAAAAATAACTCTATTTGGAGAAATAAAAAATAGTTTACATACATTTTGTACATGGACAACTAAAGCAGAGATAGCTCTAAGAAACATGTTTTATATTGAAAATACAGAGTGGTTTATAAATGAAATGATAAATGGGGAAGAATTCTAGAAGTGAGGGAAATATTCTGACAATAACTATGAGTTTGCAACTTCTACAAGGAATTAAAAAGAAGTTTTAGAATGTTTGACTTTAATACAAAATATCATTCCTGAGTTGGGAAACTGCTTAGTAAAGAAATTCCATAAAACATCCAGCCTGAACTCCAATAATATTAAATATCTCAATATATAGCTCTATCATCTATTAAAGGACACTTAAGAGCTTTACATGGACATAATTTTCATTACTAAAATAAAACAATCTCACTTTAGAAAAGTAAACTATTTTGCAATAAAACAATAAAATTAGAAAGCAAAAAATTAGATATTTTTGAAAATGGATATAACTTGCACCATAAGAATACCTGTGAATATCTATAAAATAATAAACCTATGAATTTCAATTGTAATAGCACATCTTTAAATTTATCAGAGTATATTTTCTGAATTACCAATAATATACATGAAAAGGTTTTCAGTTTTACTCTATAGGCATTATTTAATAAATGCATCACAATAGTTTATTCCATTTCCATCAATAGTTATTTTTAGATAAACAGAGAAACATACATTAAAATCTCTGTGTCATGGTACTTAGTTCTCTCATTGCCATGTACTGTCATTGTCATGTCCTCTGTTTTCCATGACACTTTATAAAGACTTCAATTTCATACTCTGGGTGATGGAGACACACATCCCTCTGACACAGACGCCCTTGTCCCTCCCTCCCTTTATACCAACAAGCTATAGATTCATGCATTCTCCTCCTCTCCCATTTATCTGTCCGTCCATCCACATCCCGACCATGTCTATCCTCACTCTGCCCAAAGCATCTTTTAACTTGTTTTCTGTTTTGTTGTAGAAACCAGATGTTACCATTAACAGAATAGTTTTAACTATCTGCAGTACAGGAGTAGCAATGTGGAACATTAAATTTTAGCTAATAATAGGAAAGAGAAGACGATCCTCCAAGAAGATCTATTAAAAACAAAACAGTTGTAAATTTTGGAACAAATGCCAGACAATAAATTAAAGAAGACATCTGAGGTTCTTAGAAAACAAAACTAACAGATGGGAAAAAAGAATCAAGTGATAATATCTAAGTAAGGTAGAAGAAATGAAATTACATATCTAAACATTTATAAATAATTTACATATATAGCATACAGTAATTTTTTATAAGGGAACTCACAACTTTGCATACATATGCATATATGTATATGCATGTGTGATAAAAGCAAATTGTAATACTGTTTAAAAAACTTAAAGAATACTCACTGTTTTTTATCATCAAGTTCTTCTGACTATGAATTGCCTAAATGATCTATAGTTTAACTCAAGAACAGAAACTTTTTGTTTCCACATAGTATTAAATGGTTATTTATGAGGGCTCTGAAAGTGCTTATACTTGAGAAAATCATAATTTATAAACTTACATTTCAGTGAATTGCTTATATTATAAATACATATTTTATATAACTTTAAAGAACTCACTTGGCTTCTTGTAAAAACTTTATTTTCAGTTCCTGAGGAAGATCTTCTTTACATGTTTTAACAGCAACAGCAGTTTTATCCTTTAATACGCCCTTATATACTTCACCAAAATTTCCCTGAAAATAAAAATACATTTATTGTTTGAGGTATAAGACAGCCACATAAATCTTGAATTAATCAAAGTACTGTTAGCATTATTCCGAGTTTGAAGTGGAAATAAAGATGGGAATATTACTCTTACCAATCCTCCCACCTTGAAATTTACTACCCTAGATATCAGACATTTGGGGGATTGATGTTTGAGAACAATTGAGAAGGAAAATGGGGGAAAAATTAAAGAAAATAGGGCAAAAGGAGAAACTCAAATTGACATTATCAGAAGTACATAAATTTCATTCTGTTTAGGCCTGTTATTATCTGCATTTTATTAAATGTAAAGTGTTATCCATTAATGTTTAAAGATAAAGTGGAGATTCTGTGGTGTGGCTGTTGGTGCTGAGCCACACAGTCATATCGACTGGAGAGGAGCGAGCGAGTAAGAGAAGAGGGGGGCGGCAACCGAGCCCGGGAAGATGAAGGACTGACAACAGCCACTCTGCAGGTGCCCCTTCTCTGAGGGAAGGTACTGGGGAAGAGGAGGTTCTCACCCAAATGGCCATGTCACCCGTGATGCAGTCATTTCTATCACATGTATGAACTCCTAACCTCATTTTATGGCTAAAATGTATTTTGACTTAAATGCTTAATTTGTAGTTTAAAGTCTTTTTCTTTTATTATAAACACAAAACTTTATAGAGAAGGCTTACAATGCTAACAATTATTTTTTAGTATTCTCTTCAAGTTTTTCTATGTATGCTTATATATTTTTTATGAAGCTATAATTATAATACGCAAGCATTATAATATGCTTCCATGCTATTGTTGTTGAGCAAGAAAGTAGCTGAAGTAGGAGTCTGCTAGTTACTGAGTTTTGGAGCTCTAAGATCAATGTAACTCTTAACCAATAGTTCAAGAAATGTAAATTTCACATGTTACTAATAAATAACTTAAAATTATTAAAAGATAATATTTTGAATACTTTATTAAATCTTAATTTTTAAATTTTCATTTTACTTAGCTTTTAAGTATATGTAAATATTTAATAAATAGTATTCATTATTATTAAATCTAATATTCAATTCTTAAATATTTATTAAAAATAATTATCTTCATGAAAAGTAATAATAATATGAATACTATAATACACATTCATCATAAGTTAGAAAAAGGAAAATTTGAGCTTTTTATTTTTTCCTGTCTGTTATCCTCAAGGCCACCTCCCTACCCCTGTGCACAATTATCAGATCATTAATACATTAGAGATAGAACTGAGAGAAGATACTAACATATACACAATCACCGCTGGGCCTCTATTTATCTGAATGATTCTGAAGCACTTATAAATTCACACGTCTAAAACTTAACACTTTACTCATTAGAGAACTTTTCCTGACGAAATTACCTTTTTCATTAACTAGGACCATCATTCTCCCTGCAAGCGTTTAGGTTCTACCTTTGCGATACAGTGTCTTTCTCCTTGCATCTCAGAAAGGCTACCCTGATTCAAGATCTTAACTTTCTCAATGAGGCTGATCTTGTCACTCAATCCATTCACCACAGCACTGCCAGGTTAATTTTTCCAAAAGACAAGTTTTTTTCTTATTTAAAATCTATCCTTTGATAACCATCACGTTCTCAAACTCTGTCTAGCTCAATAATATAGCCTCCAACTGTCGCATGCATCCTAAACCCAGGTACTTAGTGATTTCAAGATACATGCCATGTCTTTCCTACATTTTTATCCTCCATGGAAACCATCCTCCAACTCTAATCAGAAAAAGTGCTAACTAATCTTTAAGTTCATTTCTTAAGCCCCTTTCTTCATGAAGGTTTTTCTTGATCTTACCAAAATCATGTATCCCATCACTGAATACTTACCAACCCTTTGTACCTTTCTAATGGTTTCTGCCCTACAGGACAGGTCTTGGCTGTGTTAGGCATTCAAAAATTTTAAACATTCATTCAACAATCATAACTCAGAGCATTTCAAATCTATTAACAGTGGTCAAGGGAGCAGTCTCCAAATGCTGAGAAAAAGACTAGGCTTCCCAGAACCCCTCTTCTCCATCCAAAGAAGTCAGGAAGCCTGGGACACTGGCCACTCCCTGTCATTTAACAGGCACAGCTTCATGTCTACTACTGACCTTAAGTCCAGGAGGCTAAATATCATGTCTCCTGTCCATTTTTATGTTGTTCCTCATAAGAGGAGCTTGGTCCTAGGTTCATCACCATCTTCTCCCTCTTTAATCTTAATTAGATTCTGCAGATTTCTATTCAACCTTCGATATCCACCTTTTCCCATTCTAACCTCAACTGCCACTGTGCCTTCTGCTTCATCATTTTAAAAATTTTATCTTCACTGTATTTTATGGTAATTCTTTTCACCTTCTTGTTCCAACAGAAACTTGGTTCTTGAAAACACTCAAATAGTGGCTGAGCTTCCTTTTGCTTCCTAAACTTAAGTGATGACTCCCCAATCCAATCCTACCACTGCCCTGCCCTGGTGATAGAATAATGTACTTTACTAGCTCTTTATTAATGTTTTCAAACCATTTTTTTCCTCCTCCATTCCTTAAAAAAAAAAAAAAAATCACAGATACACACACACATACAAATCAGCTTTGAAGCTTTATCATTTGACTATATACCAACTGACCAACTGCCCCTTACTACAGCTATCAGCTACTGAATTTGAAAATATTTTCCTTCATTTAGTGACAGTTTGAGCTCCTGATCCCTGTACGCAGTGTTATTCCTGTCTTAATTCTTGACAATTTCAATAGACACTTAAAAACCCTTGCAAAAGTTCAAACTCTATTGCTTGAACATCTCTTTTCTTATGATCTTTTGTTCCAAACTATTTCTACGACCATACATTACACTTTGCCATTGCTGATAATGCAACTGCTCTATAATATCTCTTCCATTCATCCTGTTTTCTGGCTGGCTTCTATTTTTTTCTAGCTTATTTCCCCTAATATGTAGTCTACAAAAATATTTTCATTCTGTAAGAACCTCAAAATCTTTACATCCTATTGCTTTTCATTGTCCATCACTCCCTGAATATCATTTCTTCCTTCCTTATTCAGCTTAAATTCCATGGTCAAGAATTATAACTGCTAACCATATACATTCCCAACTTTTTGTTCCTCTTAATCTGTAAAACTTCCTTGTTAAATCCATAATGAAAATTAAATACAACACATTGCCTACTTTGCATCTATGCAGCTAAATGTGGCTGAAGAAAATCCACAATCACGTTGACTGCTTTCACTTTAAATTCATGAACACAAATCTCCTGAATGCTGAACAACAATCATATTGCAAATCTCTAGACAATTCACTCTCATCCTTCTAATTAACCATTTTCCCCACGTATTCTCTTCTTAAATCCCTCACTCATCCTCCCTCTATCCTCATTCTTAGCTGATAATCTTGTTTCCTACTTCATTGAGAAAACTGAAGCAATCTAAAGACAACTTCTAGACTTTCATCCCCAAATTTACCTACCTATCAATCCTCCTTGCTATTATAAAAATGAACTATTGTGTTTATTTGAGGTCAACCTTCCACTGTAAACTAAATTCTCTCTTACCTACTCAATGATATTACTCTTCCCTACTCAATTATGTTACTCCACCAATTCTCATCTCTCCATCCAAAGTAATAAATTTCTCACTAGATTATTCCCAACTGCAAACCAGAATGCCAGAGGGCATGCCATGACCTATACCCTCACCAACTCACTGACTGCCTGTCCTGTCCTATACCTTCTTGCTTACTTAGTTACAACCAAATGATCTCCCTTGCTCTTCAAATGAATTTTACACTGGTTATTCCATCTGTTTAGAACCTTTTTCCTTAGATGTTAATATGGCTAAATACCTTTTCTCCAAGTTTTTATTTGAAAGCAACAATTTTAGTAAGGCTTACCTGGATTTCGTTATTAAAAATTGTAATTTCTACCAACAGCAGTTCTAAACTCCAAAAATTTTCACAGAACTTAGCACCTTTTAACATTATAAAATTTACTATTTTCATGTGTATTGTTTATCAGCCCTCTTCTGCTAGATAGAATGAAAGCTCCATCAGGTAAAAGATATCTGTCTGCTTTGTTCACTGATCTATCACCAGTACATAGGCGAGCACCTGGCACAGAGCAGGCAATCCTCAAATAAATACTTGTGGATTGAATAAAATATTTACTGAATACCAATTATATATCAATTACAGTCTACTAAGAGTATAGTACTCAATAAAAAAAGTTACAATTCTCTTTTACACATGCATTTTTAAGTAGCATATTGTAAGTGTACAGTATAGGTAGTAGAAATATTAAATGACATTATTTGGAAGAAAAGGACTCTCATATATATATATATATATATATATGTCCTCTCTGACAACTAATAATAACAGCTACATAATGAATAGTTATACTGAAATATGTGTCTTGTCCATATCATTTTTAGAATAATAATATGCCCAATGTTGTTACCTACTGCGATCGTATACACAATCTTGAAATCCCAAAAAGCAGTATTTTACATTTTCTGAACTATCATGTGTAGCCAGAAACAAATAGAGCAAGACTATTGGGTGTTTATTTAAACTTTTATTACCTCACAATTTCTTTTCAAATCTCAGCTCACTAGTTTTGGCTTTCTACACTGCAGTAATATCTTTATGGCTTTTAATACAGAGGAAAACATATGACACTTTAAAATTCAAAAACCATCCTTAAACCTTTCAAAGATTTTCACACATCTATTTCAGTGAATGTCCTAGCATTTGTAACAGATGTGGTATTGTGTTCATCTAGGTTAATGTGGGAATGTGCCTTTTTGGGTGCTGGAATATAAGAAGGACTTGAAGAAAATGAAGAATCTATGGAGTTCACAATCACTAAGAAGACTTTTGGTTATTTATCTCAGTTGATTACATACCTTGCCCAGTAATTCTCCCAATGTGACATCTTCATGATTGAGAACCCATTTCTTATCCTGTGGTAAAGAAAAAGAACAGTTTTTCAGCCCGAGTAAGAGGACATTTCCTGTAAGATGCACTTAAGGAAATGGGAAATAGACCTGAGGGGATATTTCATTCAAACCATTCAATCTACAGCACACTAAGAAGTTGTAACCTCAAGAGGTTATAAAACTGATTTTAAAAATATTACTACACAATACCATTTAAAAATCTACATTATGGAAAACTTCTATCAAACTTCAGCCATCAAAATAATGATGTCCCCATAACTAGAATACAGTATGCACTTTTTTCTCCCTATGAAGTTTAAGCTACGCTGTTATTTGTTATTTTAAAAGTTTGGTACCTTAAGTACATGATAGAATTTCATTTTACAATGCAAAATTTCTAGTTCTCCCTTGATTATAGAGAATTCTTTTTCTACCCAGACCACATTACTAAGAACTAATTTTTCCACATTTAAACTGGCCATGCGCTGCCATTGTTTATGACACATGTGGTCTCAATCTTTCCTAAGTCATTTCCTGCAGTGTAATAAAGAAGCTAAACTAGGGTACATAAGACCAGTGATGCAAACATGCCATTATAAAAGAGCATCCTATTATGTGACTTCAAGAACTAATTACTGCTAAGGGAATAGTTTATCACCTAAAAATCTCAGCTATTAAACACATAAACAGTAATGTCATAAGCCACACAGGGGTTTTTTTTTAAAGAAAAAAAGGATAAAGGAATGAAGCAAGGGATGGCTAAATAGTGGGGAAAGGAAGAAAAGGAGGGAAAGCAAAACAGAAGTATGCAGGGAAGAGACAGGGAGAAGGAAAAGAAAACCCTGGAGAGAGATATTTTACTCAGAATTTGTTTTTAAATAGTATTAAAATATAGTATTCTCCCATTACAAATGTCAAAATGTAATTATGATCTATAAAATAAATTGTAGCAAGTAAACAAATATCTTGAAGTAAAAAACCACCTAACTACAGCTTAACCTGCCCTGGAAAGTCATTTGAAGCACTTTACTTTCAGAAACACCATATGACACTCAAACACCACCCTCTGTTAGAGCAACAGAGGGAACGACACTGATTTTAAAAATGACAGTTTACATGTATAATCTTCAAATATAAATACCATGAGCTATGAAGGTCCTGGAAAAAAAATACAGAATATCTTCACAACCAAGTAAGTAAGCAAAGATTTTAGATAGACACATAGAGAACTAACAATTAAGGAAAGAAAAAAACTGGAATTCATCAAAATTAGAAACACGTTTTCTTCAAGGGTATGATTTTTAAAAAATGAAAAGGCAAACTACAGTCTGGGAGAACACTTTTGAAATGCATATACATCTGATCATTTGTATGTAGACAATATAGAGAACTCATACCTCAATAACAAGATGACAACTCGATTGAAGAATTTGGGTAAAAAATTTAAGATGTGCAAACAGACAATAAGCACATCAAAATGTTTAACATCCTTAGTCCTCAGGCATATACAAATACAAACTATATTAGATGCTATTCCATACCTATTAGAATACTAACATTGGAAAGACTAACAATACAAGACTGCAAGGATAAGGAAAAGCTGGACTCCTCACACACTGTTAGTATGGAACATGATACAAGCCATCTGAAAGACAACTTGGTAGTTTCTTATACATCTACTTCATGATTCAGAAATTAACATTCCTAAGTACAAGCCCAAGAGAAATGAAAACATATCCACAAAAATTGTTGTTGGAGGCAGCTCTATTTATAATAGCCAAAAACCAGAAACAACCCAATGTTCAGTAAAAGGAGAAACGATAAACAAATCTTGGTATATTCAGACAATTACTATTCAGCAATAAATAGGAGTTTACAAGGGATGCATACAATAGCAGAGCATTAGCAAAATATTTTTCAGAGCTAACAAGGGCTGATATGCTCTATAAACATGCATACATGCATAATGAGTCCATTTATATACGTTTCTAGAGATGGACAATTAATCTATAATATCATAGATCACAGCAGTGCTTGCCTGAGGCAGGGATTGAGGAAGATTGATTGCAAAGGGCAAAGAAGAAACTTTGGGGGTTAGAGAAATGTTTAACTTCTTGATATTTCATTGACCTATATTTTTAAAAATTTCATTGATCTGTACTTTTAAAACTTGTTCATTTTATCATATGTAAAGTATATATGAATAAAGTTGATTTTTTAGAAATAAGCAAGGATAAAAAAATGCTACTTTCATTTGAGTAGCACTTTGGGGGTTAATTTCGCCTCCACATATTATCAAAAGCTAGTCCTCAAAATATGTAGTCTGGCAGGCGAGTTATTTTAAAATTGCAGAACTGATCTGTTCAGAGCAAACCACTGAAACAGAGCTCTAATATAAGTGAAGAATGAAGAGGTACATTTAGGTTAAGAAAAGAAGCCAAGAAAGTCTTTTTAGGCTACTTTTATCCTAAGTATTCTGATTGTGAAAGCAGATGCCAATATGATGATGATGATGATAATTGGAGTTTTGGCTGTGCCAAGGAGAATAGGCCCTGGCCAAATACCCCAGACTTTTAATAAGGACCTCAAAGATACCACAGTGTGGTAAAAAAGGCAATCTGAAAATGGAAGGAATTAAAATCTACCTTCTAATCACATCCGTCACTGGTGGGACTAAATCAGGGAGTGGCAAACTAAGCTTAGGCCCAGTTGGCTCACTGCCTGTCTTTGCACGGACCATGATCTAAGAATGATGTTTGCATTTTTAAATAGTTAAAAAAAAATTGTGACACATGAAAACTATATGAAATTTTAGTGTTCAATAAAAATTATTCAACGTAAACTACAGAGGGGGACAAAAAGTGAAAAAAGAAATGAACAGTTCCAAGGTGTCTGGGAAAACAGTAATAGGTCTAACATTCATATCAAAGTCAGAAAGACAAGAGGACGACAGTACTGGAAAACATTTGAGCGATACTAACCCCAAACTCACTAAACCAAAGACAAAGAAAAAAACCTTTAAAGCAGCTACAGGGAATGATCCATTATTTATAGAGGAACAATGATCAGAATGACTAGAGATTTATTATCAGAAACCAGGAAGACAAGAACAAGTGGAACAACATTTTAAAAGTATTTGTTAAAAAAGCTGTCAAATCCAGGTTACTATAACCAGAAAAATATCTTTCAGGAATGAGGGTAAAATAAAAATATTCTCAGGTAGAGGAAACCTAAGAAATTCATTGCCAGTAGGTTTACTTAAAAAAAAAAAAAAAAAATCACTAAAGGAAGTTTTCTAGCCAAAAGAAAACTTAGGATAGCAGGGAAAAAAGAATAATAAAAATGATAAATACCTGAATAAATGTAATAGACTTTTCCTCTTGAGTTCTTTAAAATGTGCTCAACAGGTAGAAAGAAAAATTATAACTTTCTGATGAGTTTTCAAGTTGACAGAGATTCAATAGTTATGCACAACAAAGAAGAAAAGCACACAGACCCCTACAGTGATAACATTTCTGCATCCTACTTGATGTAGAATGTTACAATATTGACTCTTTGTAAACCGTGAAAAGTTAAAGATGTTTTTGGTATTTCCTAGAACAACCACAAAAAAAAAAAAAGTACAAAGCTGTATAAGAAAATACATGAGAAAAAATTTGATAGGATAGTAAGAAGTGTTCAAATAAGTAAAACGAGGTATGATGGGAAAAGAGAAACAAAAAACAAAGACCAAATATATAAAATAAAATGATAGTCTTAAATCCCAACATATCAATAATTATTTAAATACAAATTATTTAAATAAACCACTTAATAGGCAGATTGTAAGAAAGAATTTCGAAAGCAGTCAACTCTGTGCTTTCTAAAGGAACTCATCTATAAAAAGTAAAAGGATGGAAATAAATATAAAATACAACATAAATAATAAGAAAGCTGGAATACTTATGGTAATGTCAGACAACACAGACTACAGATCAAAAAAAATTACCCATGGATAAAGAGGAAAATCACATAATAAAAGTTTCAGTTCACCAAGAAAACGTTATTATCCCAAATGTCTATGCTTCAATCATAAATACTTCAAAATTAAGGAATCATTTACAGAACTGAAAAGAGAAAGACAATTTCACAATTGTTATTGGGGACTTCAACAATCATCTTTCAGTAATAAATTGTAGTAAAGAGAATTTGCAAAATCAGCAAGAATATAAAATAACCAAATAACATCAAGTAAGTGAATCATATTGACATTTATAATAAAACTCAACAACAGCAGAAAAAACCCTCTTTTCTTTCTTAAAAAAAGTATTTTATTTATGCATTTTTAGAAACAGGGAAAGGAAGGGAGAAAAAAAGGAGAAAAATATCCATGTAAGAGAGAACTATCAGTTGGTCACCTCTCGGACATACCTCGACTGGGGACAGAACCCACAACCCAGGCATGCGCTCTGAGAATCAAATCAGTGACCGCTTGCTTTACAATGCAATGCTCAACCAACTGAGCCACTTGGCGAGGGCTAAAACCCTCTTTTCAAGTGCAGAAGGCAAATTTACCAAATAAATATATATCATAAAACAAACCATGAAAAACAAAATAAATGAGGTCATACAAGGTATGCTCTCTGCCAATACTACAATTAAACTGGAAATCAACAACAAAGTTAACAGGATAATTTCCAAATACTTGAAAATCAAAGAACCCACTTTTAAATGATCCATGGATAAAAGAAAAAGTCTTAAGAGAAATTAGAAAATTTTTTTGAACTGAACAAAAATGAAAAAACATATCAAAATTTTCATGTTATTACTAATGCAAGTAGTTAGAGGGAAATTTATAGCTTTTTATATTAGAGAACAAGAAAGGTCTCAAGTCAACAATTTAAACTACTACCTTAAGAATCTAGAAAAAGAAGAGCAAAATAACCCTACAGATAAGCAGAAGAAAATAATAGTAAAAGTAAAATTGAAAATTCAAAAACAATAGAGAAATCAATGCAAGATAGAGTTCATTTACAGTGGGAATG